CAAGAATTATGGAGCAACGCAAATACATGCTTATATTTTGTACATGACATATGCATTTAAATATACAGCAGTCAATACAGATAATACAAAATATGAACTACACATATATTTACAATAAAATTTAAGAACAACTTTAGAATATACAAACACTCAGGTAGCAAATAAGGACCTAATTTTTATGAAACGCTATCTTTCTCAAAGGTTGTAGAACCGCTATATTGTGTGTCTGTTACCAAACATTCATTGTTGATGTTAGTGTTGTAAGTGTTCGTATTTCTCACTAATTTCCCCATTGTTATCCAATGTTTTCTTTTATCCATTTGCCTTGTTGTTGGTTTTTTAAGTCCCTTTCTAAACCTACTCCTGGTTTTCTGTAGAGCTTGCATATCAAGTCGTTCTTTTCTTCTTATAAGTGTTCTCGAAGTAGTTGGAATTGTGTTCCTTGAGTGTGTATTTTTATTTCCTCTTAGGTAGATCAACTTCCGTTTTTCAAATTTTACCTTCTGCACAACATTGCTTTTCTTTGTTTTGGATGATCGAGTCTCTTTGTATGGTTTCTTTTCAGTTTCTGTTTCCCATTTATCATTGGTCAGATTGTTATGCTTTATTTCTTCCCCTGTGTTTCCTATTTTATGTTCTTCTATATGTGTGTCCATGTGATGTTCACATTTTGCATTGATTGTTTGTTGTCCATTTTTTTCCTTCACCATTATCCGTTTGTAAATCATCCGTTGTTTGCGTACTCTGATTGTTCCTCTCCTTTCTTTCATGACCGACATCCATCCTGAGTAATTCTTTGTCAGTTTGGGTGAATTGTTCTGTCTTTAAAGTCTGTCCTTTGAGATAGTAACACATGGTGTCTTGAAAATATTGTTTACTTCCTTGAACAGCAATCTGACGTTTCCTTTCACCATCACCTTCTCCTGTATTTCTTTCATCAACCAGTGGTGGTGTTGTCCAATATCAATATTTCCTACTCTTCAGTTCACAAGTCAGCCACTTACCTGAACGATAAACAGAAGTTGGAGCTAATTGGTCAATGATGTCACTGAGCATTTCTAACTCATGGTGATTTAACCGATTCTGACATGAAGCTTTTTTTATTTCATATTCCGATGACGAATTTCTTTCTACTTCATTTTTAGTGTCCTTGTTTTCTCCTGGTTCATATTTGGTCTGAGTTTGTTTGGTCTTGTCGTATTTTTGTATACGAGCTTCTGCACTGAGTTTGTTGTCTTCCTCCGGTATCCGTTCCCGTCTGTTTGATGACATTTTTCTATTCAATATATTATTTTCATCGACAATTGACTGAACCATTAAATGGAGCTTTTTTCGTGTAATTAACCTTGGGGACTCTGTCTGTTTCGTGACATTTACTTTTCTTTCGTTTATCTTTAAACCACAATTACTTTTCGGTTTATTGAAACATTGGCGAGCTGTAGGTATTGTTTGCTCTTTTTCATCTGTTTCGGATAAAGAATCTTGTTCTTTCTTTGGACTCTCCCTTGTTTTCATAGTATAGTCTTCCTCTTCACTCAGATGTGTAGAGAGGGTATAATATTCTGATTCACCGTTATGTACTTGTACTGTGTCAACTTTCTCTTCTAAATCAACAATCTCCTCTTTTCCCTGGTTTCTTACAATTGGATCCTGGTATTCAGTCTTTTCAATCTGTAAATTGGTTTCATCTCTTTTGTTTTTCATTTCAGGTTCCCATCAACTTTTGAGCTTTAAATATCTCTTAGCTGTTATTTTACTTAATGTACAGAGATAGCGTTTTGCCTCGTACACTGAATCTTCGGCGACAGCTTTCACTAGTTCCTTCCCTTCTTCATCACAACAAGCATTAGTGAGGTATTTTATAATCAGATGTTCTTTTACATTTTCTGTTTCATTTTGGAATGCCCCTTCTACCAACTCTTCAATCCTGTCTGTAAATTCATCAAATAACTCATCTGGATATGGGAAGATATTATTTAGATTTTCCAAAATGAGTAATGGATAGCCAACTGAGTCAAATCGGTCATTAAAGAGTTTGCACAATGTTTCGTAGTCTGCTTGTACTGTATATGACCTGTACTTATAGAACTTCAGTGCTTTTCCAGTAATTCTCGATACCAATGTTTGTAATTTTTGTTCACTTTTCCATCCTTTCACAAAAGCTGTAGACTCTATATCGTCTTTCAGCGGCGCTGTTCCGTCAAAATTACTTGAGTTACTCATATTTTGAGTTGAGATTTACTAACTAAGATTAAAATAAAAGCATAAAAAAAACCCGAATATTACAAGGAATTACACACAAAAAACACACAAAATATGTACAATACAAACTGTGTAACACTGCAATATACAAAACAAGATTTAAAAAAAAAATCACAAACACCTGTACATACAATCACAATTTAAGAAAAATTGGTATACTAATTTTATTCTGATTTTCCAATGAAAACACAAGTATAGCAGTAAAAAAAAAAACAATCTGAAAACACCTATGACATCAGAGGATCTGACGCGCAATGCTGCTTCAGAAATTAATTAATTCTAATAACCCTGTTTATATCATCATATAAGTCAAGGGACCTAAATATTAAAAATTTTCACATATGCATAAATGTAAATAAACATATAAGTGACACAAGCAAATATGTTTATATTTGTCTTTGTTTTAATATCTAATATACGAACTCACAAACTCCGAAAAATTACTATTTAAACACAGACATGAAACTGTAAACAATGACGTATGTATACACAATTCACAACAATTAGTAGTACAAGTATATTATCAATACATTCTTATATCGTAAATGAGTAAACACTTTTCAGACGGTAACACAGACAAGACAATTAAACAAAATGAAAAAAAAAATAATTTGATAACAACTATGACATTAGAAGATCTGACGCACACAGTTGTATCAATAATTTATGAAAAACAAAAGAAAAACATAAATGATATCTGACATCAGAAGATCTGACGCCCAATGCAATGAAATATCAATGAATGAAAAAAAAATTTGTTGATTTGTATTAAAATAAATAAACAAAACCTGAAATAAACCAAATAGATAATCAAAAACTATCCACTAGTAGTTTGTTTATAAGGTTATTTTGTCTTATTCTCAAGGTGTATGCAAATCTGTGTATTTTGTAAATGTGTTACAAAAAGGGGGATGGGAATTTTATCACGGAAAGTCTGATAATCACAATATGAATATGAAACGAATATATCACTTGCGCAAATATCAAAAGTACTGATAAATCAGCGCGCCATGAAATAATACAAACGCGGGAGAGAAGAAACAAAAATTTTCCTCTCGCGAAAACATAGAAAAATATGAAATTCGACGGAATAAATGTCAACGATAAACCGCAGTGTAAATCTGTGGAATCGTGCCGACTTCTGACACCACTGTAATGATTTTATAGGGGTATGTGTATGCGTTATATTACCCGAATATAACAATCCTAGGTTTGAGTCATTTGGTCATCTATCAGGCCGCTCATCAAATGGGGAAGTCTGATCAGGATAACAACTTGGGTAATGACTGTCAAATATACCATGGGGAATCTAAATATGACATAGTAGTCTTCCGAATGTACATTGGTAATAGTAAACCCAAGTATATGTAGTTCCGAGTAAACTGATGTTATACCATATTCATAACAGTACTATAAAAACAACATGCAAGCAAGAGTTAAATCTCTGTGTCAACAGTTTATTTATTTTTTTAATTTTCTTAGCAATTATCAGGAATTTTCGTTTTGACTAAAAGTGGTGAAAAAAAAATTGTACATGGAAAGGAAGCAAGACAACTCACCCCAATGGCAAATCGCCCCACACCAAATCGCTCCACTTTTTCAAAAACTCGCCCCACTTTTTAAAAAAATCGCCTCGCTCTTGATTACCAACTTGCCCACTTATGAAAAAGGGTTAAGTCTTGTTACATTTAATCCTGCCAACTCCCCCCACTTATGGAAATGGGTAAAATCCCGATAAATATATAATAAAGGTCTGCCAACAGGCCCCACTTATAAAAACTTATCTATTGTATGCCATATTTGTGTATTTATGTTCTTGTTTCTAGTGTTGACATTTCATCTATTACTTCTTTTTGTGTAGTTATGCCAGTGTTTGTCAAAGACTTATTGTGCAAACCTATCATCTAAGAATAAAATTATGTAAACAACCATGATTCTTGGCTTATCTTGTAAAACAGTGATTATATTTACCAGAAAACAAACGTCATAAACAGTTACTATAGTCAATAACATCGTACGTCACAGAAATGCTGATACTTACTTCTTTCTGCTTTCTTTCAACCAAAAGAAAAGAGTTAAAAAAAAAGATGCATTTCTAAGGTTTTCATAAGTATTCATTTAATTCATAAGTGGGGCGAGTTGGTAGGCCTAAATTCAGTACAGTTTAATTCTTTTATTCATTTGTGGTGCGAGTTGGCAGACCTTTAATAAATGGGATTAAAATTAAACTCCTATTCACAAGTGGGCAAGTTGGCAGACCTATATTCAACGGGATTGCATCCTTTTTCATAAGAGAAGGGACAGTCTATACTAACTAAGTATAGACTGTTCCTGATAAGTGGGGTGAGTTGGCATGACTAAATTCATCGTGGTTTTTCTATTTTTCATAAGTTGGGCGAGTTGGCAGACCTTTATTCAGCGGTATTTCAACCCTTTTCATAAGTGGGCGAGTTGTCATACCTATTTTCAATGGGATTTTACCCTTTTTCATAAGTGGGGCGACTTCGTTAACAAGAGTGGGACGAGGTGGCGAAAAAGTGGGGCGATTTGCCTGTGGGGCGAGTTGTCATGGATTCCATGGAAACGGTTAGGAAATGGGTTTGTGCTTTGGATTTTCTTGTAAGTAACAGAATAATGCAATAAAGTGGAACTGAAATCCGTCTAAATGTTGTCTTCTAGCTTTGAAAATAAGATTGATAGAAAAAATAGTATAATTAAAAAATATAAATTATTTACAGATAAAGACTGGTTTTGTCCAGCAATACCCCCTATACCAAATGGTAAATGTTACTGTCATTCTAAAAAGGACATCAATTTCTGTGAGCCATTCTATCTTACAATGAAAATACAATGTTCATGTAATGAAGGATACAGACTTGTTGGACAAAAGACATTGACATGTACTGACAAAGGATTATGGAACTATGATCAACCTACTTGTGTTAAAGGTAAGTATATCTATGACAACAGATTGATTAGAGAAAATATTTCTAAAGGTGAAAAAAGTTCCAAAATTATTGACCTAATAAAAACGTTTTCTGTAAATAATTCTTATTTATCAAATGAACTGTTTCACATCGAGGTGAAAATCGAGGCAATTTCATGTACTTTAAAAAGCATTGTTGTTTGTTGTTACAATTTCTGGTTAATGACAAACACAACTTCTGCATTGTTTTTTTGGTTTGTGTTTTTTTTGCTTTTTTTAAAGCTCATAAAGTGGACTATAATTATTATTATTTTTTTATTAATCATAAAATTGAGAATGGAAATGGGGAATGTGTCAAAGAGACAACAACCCGACCATAGAACAGACAACAGCAGAAGGTCACCAACAGGTCTTCAATGCAGCAAGAAATTCCCGCACCCGGAGGCGTCCTTCAGCTGGCCCCTAAACAAATATATATACTAGTTCAGTGATAATGAACGCCATACTAAACTCCAAATTGTACACAAGAAACTAAAATTAAAAATAATACAAGACTGACAAAGGCTAGAGGCTCCTGACTTGGGACTTTTATAGTCTCAAAGTCCAACTTTTCTTGTTTCAAGAGGAGTCTATACCATGAGACCAGTAAATGTTTTACAATTTCTGCTTAAATTTTAGTTGATGATATTGCCATAGATACTGCAGGACATAACAGTGAATCTAATGGATCTACAACAAGAATGAATACACTTGCAGTTGTCATAGCAACCGCATGTAGTGTCCTAGGCATTCTCTTACTAGTGATGGTTGTGATGATCATTAGGAGACGTAAGCCTCGTCCACGTCATTATCACCAAGTTGGTGTTCCGCCACCATACACTAGAGTACACAGTAGCTCATTTGATGAACTAGATAGAGTTGCATTAATTGGATATGATGCTGCTAGATTACCGACTTACGAAGAGGCTGTGCGAAATAATTCATCCTCATCTGTTCCTCAAAGGGGACAAGGGTTGTCAGAAGTTTCAGTAAATGGTGAATTCAGGCCATTGCCAAGCATTCCAAATGTTGTTCGAAGCGGTAATGCTCAAAATAGTGACATTCAATCAGTGCACTCTAATCGACATTCTATTACAACGATGAGTACTGTAAACAGAGATGGTATATCTGAAGTGTATGGTTCCATTGACACAGTCAACTATAGTATGAGTGATGCGTCTACCTCTGTCACAGTGGACACATTTGACAGTACAGCATCAAGGCCATCCCATGGGTCAGGTACAGCCACTGCTGGCAGTGTCAATACCTCCCAAGAAAATATAGTCACTGAAGGTAATTCACAAACAGTATAAAGGAGAAGTTATGGGCCCTATTTGGACTAAAAAAATAGTACCAGGAATTTAGAATCGTGTGATTTTTGCATAAAAACATGGGTTGATATGTAGGAAGTTAAAACTGGGCATCAGTTATACTAACTAAGATTAAATAGTGGCAGCATAGCATAAATGTAATTTTTAATGATTTTAACAACTACTTGTGAGTAGAATTATTGAGTGCATGCAGCTACAAGTCCCAAATAGTACTTTATATTTACTGGTCCATAAACCATTTGAAAATTGACCAAATTCTGTGTACTTTTCTTTAAAACAAGGAATAGCCTTTTAAATTACATTATAACTGAATTCAATATTATGTAATATATTTTAAACTACTTTTCTTTAGTTTTGTGTTACCTCAACTTCAATATACTCATTTAGTGTAAATCCTTAAATATTACCACAGATTTTATTTTTTGCGGTCGTATATTGGTATCACGTCGTCAACAGCGTCGTCCAAAGACATTTGGTTTCTGTACAATAACTTTAGTTTAAGTGTATGGATCTCTTTGAAATTTAACAAAAGGTTCAATACCACAAAAGAAAGGTTGGGATTGTTTTTGGGGGTGATGGTCCCAACCATTTAGCAAAAAGGGGCCAAAACAAGCATTTTTCTAGTTTCAGGTCAATAACTTGTGTATAAGTATTTTGATTGCTCTAAAATTGTACCACAAGGTTCAATATCACAAGTAGAAGGTTGGGATTCATTTTGGGGGTAATTGCCCAAAGGGGCCAATAAGGTTTTAAAACAAGCATTTTTCTAGTTTTCAGACAATAACTTGTATTTAAGTGTATGGATGTCTCTTAATTTGTACCACATTTTACAAAAAGAAAATTTCTTCAAAAGGTAAAAAAAAATTTTGTGGGGGGGGGGGGGGGGGGGGGGGGGGGAATTTTTTGTCCTAAAAAGAAAATTCTCTTCAAATATTATTTTTTTTGGAGGGTAAAAAAAAAAAATTTTTTTGGGGGGGGGGGGGGTCAATTCTTTTTCCCTCAAGATTTAAGAAATTGTCAATTTTCCAAAGAAAAATTTTTAATTGGGGGGTCTCAATTTATTTTGCTAATTCTTTGTATATAGTCTGAAAACAGATTTACTAAGTATTGCACAACAGCACAGTGTATGTCACAACAGCAAGAAATCTTCAATTGAATATAAATTCAAATCATGCAACCAATTTCAAGTTCTTTGACTACATTTATTCTGTGTCAGAAACCTATAATGTGTCAAATATTTAATTACAATCCAAATTCAGACCTGAATCAAGCTTGAATATTGTGTCCATTTTTGCCCCAACTGTTCAGGGTTGGACCTCTGCTGTTGTATCCAGCTGTGCTCGGCGAGGCAGTTTATTTTATTTGATCTGAATGATTCTTTGGGTTTCCACATAGCAAAAGCTGTAGTTATATTTTAGCAACAGCCTACTTTGGGATCTTGAAAATGCGTAACTTCAGAAAAAATTTCTGCTTTTTATCTTTGGCTATTAGCTAGTCTTCAACTTTTAAAAATTTCTGGTTTTGTAAGGAGTTTAAATGGTATGAATTTTGAATTAATAAATGATTATCAAGAGCTATTTTGATGAGGTGTCATTGTTACAATAGCTACTTATTTCTTGATTTAAAAAGATGATACATAAAATTGGGGAGATCATTTTGGAAAATAGAAATCTAAATGCAATAGGTCACTGTATGGCATTCAACAATGATCAAAACCCAAACTGTATAGTCCCACTATAAAAGTCCCACACATGACAAAATGTTAACCAACCAAACAAGAAAACCAATGGCCTGATTTATGACGAAAGAATAAATGAGACAAATATTGCTGACAGCAGCCAACGACAAACACTAAATTACAGGCTACTGAGTTGGGAAAGGCATTTAAAGGATATGACTGTGTTAAACATGTTTGTGAGCACTTAAATTAATCCTCCCCTAAACTGTGACAGTGGTATAACAGCACAAGATACATGTTCATTTTGCAGTATTCATCTGACCTTGACCTCATTAGTCAAGTCAAGTTTTTTGTGACTAGGTCCATTTCTCTGATACTAATAAATAATAGATCAATTGTATTTGGTGTATAGAATAATGTTAGGAAAAAATAAAGCATTCTCTCATGCATCCCAAAAAATTGATCATTTATTCTTCAGTCCTGATAGGTGTAAATCCTAAATTCCCGTAAAGTAAAGGCCCAATCCCAACGTCCCGAAAAAGGTCCTTTCATCTCTCTTGTTACATGGGCGTGCGTATTTTTTTACTGGAAAATACAGTACATGTCCATTTATTAGGGTTCATCAGACCTTTTACCGCTTTTACATGGATTATTGATAATGCTAAGTTAATGTGATACTTATAGTCAACTTTTTTTGCTGTTATGTAATTTCAGAAGCACCATTATTAGTTCATGAGATAGAAGAATCTGAAGACAAAGGTGAGGATATGGAGATAAAAGATGAAGACAAGAATTGATCATTGTTTATAATTATTTGTTAATATTTTGTATGTTCCAATTTTGTATCATGTTCAACCTCAAGAAGTCGTCACATATTTCATTAGATTTTTTTAAACTAGAAGATCTTGTTGACCTTGAACAGAAAAAAGAAAAAAGCTAAAACCTTTTTTTTTCTTCGGTTTTATGCCCTGCATTTGATATTTGGAGGGACATTAAATTTGCTAGTCTTTACACCCATCTGTCTGTTCACCTGTCCATTATCATGTTAAAGTGCCACTTTAAGATAGTCTTCTCTTGAAATTGTGATCACATCAACTTGAAACTAATTACCGGTTCACTTGTTCATTATAATGTGATACTTTTAATTAAATATTTGCTAAATTATGACTCATATTCTGCAGTGCAATGAACATGGAAATGTGATGGTGTGAGCTAAGCATGGTGTGCTATAGACATTTCTGTTTTTGTGGGAGTCATTTTCTAAACATGTAATCTAAATTTCATTGGCATATTTTAAGTAGCTTCAAAGCAAAAACTAGGAAATGTTTCGAAGAAATAAAAGCATATAAGGAAGATTTTTTAAAACCGTTTACTTTTATTATACATGTTCAATTCAAATGTGCAGTTATTTTGATATTAGTAAATTGGGATTTAATATTTTAGTTTTTTATTTTCTGTTGAAGATTATTATTTCCTTTATTAATACAAATAACCCCCATGCGTTGGTAGATTCTAAGTTTAAGCTACACCTATATGTGGTTCATCAAACTTAATGTCAACAGAAGCAGGCAATATTGATTTCAGTGAAATGTTTAGATTGCCCATAATAAATTTCAGATTAAAACTGACCATCTGTAAGAAGATTTGTTAACTCCTATTTTAAGGAAATTAAGTGTGATAGAAGCAGTTAAACACCAAGGAAGAAAAAATAATTACCAATACTGCAGATATTTGGGCACCTGTTCATAAAAATGGTTTAATATTCAGCAAAGAAAAAATTGGTGATATTTTATAGGATTTATTTTTCATTACAATGGGACAGAATGATCATATATATATATATTGAAAAACTATAAACTTTAATTTATCACTGCCTTTGTATTATATTGAAAACAACATGAATTTATTTCAATTCTATGGTATTTCATTTAATTACATCAATATATTAGCTGGAATGCTTGGTTATACAAGTTGTTTTGTAACGGTTTAATACGAATATTAGAAGAGTTGTAAATTATATTATATATGTAATAATAAATTTAAACATTTCTGAAACTATAAATAGTCACTAGGGTAATTCTGTTATAAACCTTATTAAGACAGCATTCGAGTGAAGTTAAAATCATGCAGACATGGTGATTGGATATGCTCATAAGATAAAAGTTTAAATCTTTTCTGTTGTTCCGATCTATTTGGTATGTTTTTCAACATTCCAAGAAATTGAATTTGAAGACCCTATTCATTTATTGACAAATGACCAATTTTATATTCAGAGATCCTCAAATACTCATTCAGGGTCGCATGATTAGTCATATTCATATTGTTAGTTACACCACCATTTTTTTACATGTACTTTCAGTATTCCAGGAAAAAGTAACATTCCCACCTTCTATTTTCCAGCTTTTTTATATTCCATTACAATAAAGAGAAGAAATTAATTGTTCTTTCAATGGTTTTTTTAAATGCTTAATTTGCATGTATGTAGATTGCAGGGTTCTTAAAATTTTTAAATTGCTTTAATATCTGCTATGAAATTCTCTGAAAGTTTTAGCAAGTGTTACAACAACTAAAACTGAGGAATCCCTACCATGCATATAGAAGCAATTATTATTTGTTTATCGGTAAACACATTTTTTTTATGTATCTGTGTTGAAAGATGAGTTGCAAAAAAATGTTTGAGTTGATTGGGAGTAGTGACAATAATACGTTCGGTTTTAATTGATCTTAGTGGTCTGAATAGTGTAAATCTGTAGGTATTTCCTATAGGCTTTGACATTTTATGTATATTATAGATAATTAGTATATGAATCATCTGTTTCTATATTGTGCAATTCTTCATACTTGTATACTCTTTTTTGAAGCTTATCTTTTCTTTTGTCCTGTCACAACTTAAAGTATGACTAGGGCATAGAGATTTCCCTTAGCTTTAAATTTTGCTATTGGTTTATATTTAACACTTTTTAATGACTTGTATCCTTTGAGTCAACATCTGTATGGCACTGTCATACCACTTAAACTACAATAGGGAGGTTAGAATGGGGAAAAAACTGTTTAGGCCCATTGAATTTAAAATTTTACAGCCTGTATATACCTCCCAAAAAATATTTGGGCACAAAATGTCTTATTCAAATAAGTTTTATGTGTCAGAGTAAAATATACTTTTAAGGCTTTTTCTTTTATTTAAATTTTTCAAATATTGTGTGTAATATTGTCATCTTTAAATTTCAGACTTATCAGTGTCGTATAATTTTGAAAAGGATTGGACTGTATCAGGTCACTCAGTCACTCAGGTGTTCACTCAACAATGCATGTTGGTTGTATATCATCTTCAAAAGCAATGGTGGTTGTATATCATCTTCAAAAGCAATGGTGGTTGTATATCATCTTCAAAGTCAATGGTGGTTATATATCAATTCCCAAATTCATAATGGTATATCAGTCTTATAACTATGCATCAATTCTCTTATACAGTACAAAAAATAATTGACAGCAATTGGACCAACTGGTGTCTTTCATTTCATGCTTAAGTAACATTGTTTACATTGCACATCAATGAGATTAGATGACTCGGTTTCTATTACATTCTACAGTTATTGAATGTTTTGGTCATATTGGCCTACATTTTATACAGGTATTTTTTTCTGGTTTACCTCACATTATACATCCATGATCTATCAGTGTTTATTTGATCTATCAGTGTTTATTTGATCTGTCAGTGTTTATTTGATCTATCAGTGTTTATTTGATCTATCAGTGTTTATTTGATCTATCAGTGTTTATTTGATCTATCAGTGTTTATTTGATCTGTCAGTGTTCATTTGATCTGTCAGTGTTTATTTGATCTGTCAGTGTTTATTTGATCTGTCAGTGTTTATTTGATCTATCAGTGTTTATTTGATCTATCAGTGTTTATTTGATCTATCAGTGTTTATTTGATCTGTCCTTCAGTTGTTCTAATATTTCCTTTAACTGAAGGGGAATTGCCTTTTGCATAATTTTTGTCGAGCCTGCGACTTTTGTCGCAGAAAGCTCGACATAGGGATAGTGATCCGGCGGCGGCGGCGGCGGCGGCGTTAGCTAACTTCTTAAAAGCTTTATATTTTAGAAGGTGGAAGGTCTGGATGCTTCATACTTTGTATATGGATGCCTCATGTTACGAAGTTTCCGTCAGTCACATGTCCAATGTCCTTGACCTCATTTTCATGGTTCAGTGACTACTTGAAAAAAAAGTTAAGATTTTTTGTAATGTTAGATTCTCTCTTATTATAAGTAATAGGATAACTATATTTGGTATATGCGTACCTTGCAAGGTCCTCATGCCCGTCAGACAGTTTTCACTTGACCTTAACCTCATTTCATGGATCAGTGAACAAGGTTAAGTTTTGGTGGTCAAGTCCATATCTCAGATACTATAAGCAATAGGTCTAGTATATTCGGTGTATGGAAGGACTGTAAGGTGTACATGTCCAACTGGCAGGTGTCATCTGACCTTGACCTCATTTTCATGGTTCAGTGGTTATAGTTAAGTTTTTGTGTTTTGGTCTGTTTTTCTTATACTGTATGCCATAGGTCTACTATATTTGGTGTATGGAATGATTGTAAGGTGTACATGTCTAGCGGGCAGGTGTCATCTGACCTTGACCTCATTTTCATGGTTCAGTGGTCAAAGTTAAGTTTTTGAGTTTTGGTCTTTTTTTCTAATACTATATGCAATAGTTCAACTATATTTGGTATGTGCGTACCTTGCAAGGTCCTCATGCCCGTCAGACAGTTTTCACTTGACCTCGACCTCATTTCATGGATCAATGAACAAGGTTAAGTTTTGGTGGTCAAGTCCATATCTCAGATACTATAAGCAATAGGTCTAGTATATTCGGTGTATGGAAGGACTGTAAGGTGTACATGTCCAACTGGCAGGTGTCATCTGACCTTGACCTCATTTTCATGGTTCAGTGGTTATAGTTAAGTTTTTGTGTTTTGGTCTGTTTTTCTTATACTGTATGCCATAGGTCTACTATATTTGGTGTATGGAATGATTGTAAGGTGTACATGTCTAGCGGGCAGGTGTCATCTGACCTTGACCTCATTTTCATGGTTCAGTGGTCAAAGTTAAGTTTTTTGAGTTTTGGTCTTTTTTTCTAATACTATATGCAATAGTTCAACTATATTTGGTGTATGGAAATATTTTATGATCTATTTGGCAGTCACGCAGGTTTTATTTGACCTTGACCTCATTTTCAAGGTTCATTGCTCAGTGTTAAGTTTTTGTGTTTTGGTCTGTTTTTCTTAAACTATAAGCAATAGGTCAACTATATTTGTTGTATGGAAGAATTGTTAGCTGTACATGCCTGCCTAGCATGGTTCATCTGACCTTGACCTCATTTTCATGGTTCACTGGTCAATGTTTAGTTTACTTGGTTAATGTTAAGTTTATGTGACAGTTGTAATAAAGCTTTATATTTAGGACTATCAACATAATATCAATGATTAGTAAGGAAGGCGAGATATTTCAGCGTGTGCACTCTTGTCTAACTATAGAACTGATCATTTTAATGAATCTCAATAAGACTTAAAGGTAAATATAGCAGATTCTGTATGATAGTTTAAAACTTTAAAGCCTTCTTCTCAAAGTTTTGGGACGTTGGTGACAGAAATTCACCCTCTTTCGTAATAGAATACAACAGATCAATGGTCAATGGTGAATTGCTTCTGACATAAGAGGATAATATTTTGATTTCTTTCAATTAGACATTTGTAGGGCTGTATTTTGTTAAAAAAATATATTCTTACTTATATTATATCCCAAAAAAAGGCACTGAAAACCTGCTGTTCCTTAGAACAATTTCATTTGAGATTATTGAAATTTTTTATGACTGCAATGTGATCTGAATAGCCCAATATAAAAATTTGATTGACCCCTCTCCCAGTAAACCTTGCATATAGATATGGTGTTCCCCAAGTTGTAAGAACGCAAATGATAACAAAAATATGATGTAATGACATTGTAATTGAAGAAAAACTGCTTTGTGAGACATATCTTATTGTGATGTGAATGTTTAAATAATGTCTAGTTCAATGTTTATTGTCCCTATCCACAAAATGGAGCAGGGACATAGAATTACAAGCATACTTGTGTCTTTTATTCCATCCTATCTTGTAAAAATTCTCACATCTACAATTTATTTTCAGATTTTATAAAATTTATTTCAAAAGTTTACATCAGCAATATCTCAGATGAGTTTGAAAATCAGTGCTAATTAACTATTGTAAAAAGAGTTTTGCCCATGGAAATGCTGTACAAATGTCTTTTTGGTCCTTTAAGTGTTCTCATGGGTGCAATTTCCCCCTGATTTTTATGAAATTCATATCAAAAGGTTTACATCAGTGCCGATCAACTATTTTTTAAAGAGTTATGTCCCTTGAAATGTTTGTTTATCTGTCTGTCCCGTCTTGTAAGTGTTATCAAGGGTACAATTCTTGCCAAATTGTATGAAATTAGAGGTTTACATTTGCAATGTCTTGGATGAGTTTGGAAAGCAGTGCTTTTAACTTTTTATGCCCTGGCCGTAGCAGAGGGGGCATTAAGTGTTACCCTTGTCCGTCCCGAAATTTGGTTTCTGTTCTCTAACTTTAGATTGCCTCAACCAAATGTTATGAAACTTATACACAATGCTTATTACCACAAAACACAGATCAGGTTCGAAATTGGTGTCACTTTTACCGTTCATGAGTTATGCCCCTTTATAAACATAAAAATTGCTGAATTTTTCGTTTCCATTCTCTAACTTTAGTTTGCCTCAACCAAATGTTATAAAACTTATACACAATGCTTATTACCACAAAACACAGATCAAGTTCGAAATTGGGTGGCGTCACTCTTACCGTTCTTTAGTTATGCCCCTTTATAAATGGAACATTGCTAAATATGTCTTTTCCGTTCTCTAACTTTAGCTTATCTCAACCAAATGTTATGAAACTTATGCTTATAATCACAAAACAGTCTTAACTACGTGAATCATGCATCTGTATGTGGAAGTTGACTCGTGCATATTTACAAGCGGGGGCATCTGTGGCCCATAGACACATTCTCCATTTATTTTTTTTTAAGGAATTTATGCTCCTTAGAAAAGTAAATTTCATATGGTATTTATATAAAAGATAAAAAGATCTCCCTCAAACATAATATTGGGAGTTATTGCCAATGTCCATCAGTTAAGGACATTGAATCACTGTTCTTTTATTTGTACAATTTGTTACTGTGATCAAATATTAAGTAAATAAAATATAAAATATTCATTCTTTTTTATACGCCTGTTTACGGGACGTATTATGGTATACCTCTGTCCGTCTGTCCGTCTGTCCGTCCGTCGTCAACATGTCGGACATTAACTCAAAAACGCTTAAACCAATTTGCATAAAACTATGGTGAATTGTTTATATCTATTGACGTGAGCTTCCTTTCGATTTTTATAAATTTTAGATTTTACGTTTCCGAGTTATGGGGTTTTATTCATTAAAAAAAGGGGGATTTTCCAGTTTTCGAACAATAACTCAAAAATACTTTCACCAATTTGCAAGAAACTTTGGTGAATTGTTTATATCTTTTGACATGAGCTCCCTTTCGATTTTTATAAATTTTAGATTTACGTTTCCGAGGTATGGGGTTTTCTTCATTAAAAAAGGGGGGATTTTCCATTTTTCGCACAATAACTCAAAAATGCTTTCAGGAGTTCTGTTGTCTTTCACTCCCATTCGATTTTTAAATATTTTCGATTTTAAATTTCTGAGTTATGGAATTTTATTCATAAAAAAGGGGTGTTTTCTAGTTTTCTGACATTATCTTTAAAGTGCTTTGGGCAGTTTTGATTAAACTATGGTGACTGATCAATATCTATTAAGATAACCTCCCTTTAGTGTTTCATAAATTTATGATATGAAATTGAGAAGTTATTGAACTTTATTCTTTGAAGATGGGACGGGCGTATCATACGCTCATGGCGCACCTGTTTATTCTAATACTGTATGCAATAGGTCAACTATATTTGGTGTATGGAAATATTTTACGATGTACATGTTAGTCTGGCAGGTTTTATTTGACATTGACCTCATTTCACGGTTCATTGCTCAATGTTAAGTTTTTATACGACCGCAAAAAAATTTTTGTGGTCGTATATTGGTATGACGTTGGCGTCGTCGTCGGCGTCGTCCGAAGAAACATTGGTTTTCGCACTCAACTTTAGTTTAAGTGAATGGATCTCTATGAAATTTTACCACAAGGTTCAATACCACAAAAGGAAGGTTGGGATTGATTTTGGGGGTTATGGTACCAACAGTAAAGGAATTAAGGGCCAAAAAGGGGCCAAAAATAAGCATTTTTGTAATTTCCAGACATAACTTGTGTGTTAGTGTATGGATCTCTCTGACATTGTACCACAAGGTTCCATATCACAAAAGGAATGCTGGGATTGATTTTGGGGGTAATTGCCTCAAAATTTTAGGAATTAGGGGCCAAAAAAGAGGCACAACAAGCATGTTTCTAGTTTCATGACAATAACTTGTGTGTAAGTGTATGGATCTTTATGAAATTGTACTACAAGGTTCCATATCACAAAGGGAAAGCTGGAATTGAGTTTGGGGGTAATTGCCGAAACGTTTCGGAATTGGGGGCCAAAAAGGGGCCAAAAATAAGCATTTTTCTAGTTTCCAGACAATAACTTGTGTTCAAGTGTATGGATCTCTCTGAAATTGTACTGCAAGGTACCATACCACAAAGGGAAGGCTTGGATTGATGATGGGGGTAATTGCCTCAATATTTTAGGAATTAGGGGCCAAAAAGGGGCCAAAAAACAAGCATTTTTCTAGTTTCCAGACAATATCTTGTGTTCAAGTGTATGGATCTCTCTGAAATTGTACTGCAAGGTACCATACCACAAAGGGAAGGCTAGGATTGAGTTTGGGGGTGATAAATCATAAGGGGGTTCAAAAAATTTGGGGGGGGGATTTTTTTTTCCTTTTTTTCTTTAAAATATTCCATTTTAAATGGGTTATTTCTGATTTATATATAAAAGCAAATAATAATGATATGATTTGAATAGGTAAATTAAATTTTTTTAAGTTCTTAGACCACATTCATTCTGTGTCAAAAACCTATGCTGTGTCAAATATTTAATTACAATCCAAATTCAGTGCTGTATCAAGCTTGAATGTTGTGTCCATACTTGCCCCAACTGTTCAGGGTTCGACCTCGGTCGTATCAAGCTGGGCCCCAGCGGAGCATTTTATTTTCCGTGAGTTACGCCCCTTTGAACTTTTTTTCCCAATATACTACTGCAACCTTTTGTCATCACAACTCCTCTCAAACCACACAACAGAATTTCATGCCTTGAAACCTTTTCAGATAATAAGGACATACTACGTAGATGTGCATATCGACAGGAAATTACGATTCAATTTTTTTTTCCAGGAGTTAAGCCCCTTTGAACTTATTTGCCCAATATACTACTGCAACCTTTTGTCATCGCAACTCCTCTCAAACCACACCACAGAATTTCATGAAACCTTTTCAGATAATAAGGACATACTACGTAGATGTGCATATCGACAGGAAATTACGATTCATTTTTTTTCCAGGAGTTACGCCCCTTTGAACTTATTTGCCCAATATACTACTGCAACCTTTTGTCATCGCAACTCCTCTCAAACCACACAACATAATTTCATGAAACCTTTTCAGATAATAAGGACATACTACGTAAATCTGCATATCGACAGGAAATCACGATTCAATTTTTTTTCCAGGAGTTACGCCCCTTTGAACTTATTTGCCCAATATACTACTGCAACCTTTTGTCATCGCAACTCCTCTCAAACCACACAACAGAATTTCATGAAACCTTTTCAGATAAAAAGGACATACTACGTAGATGTGATTATCGACAGGAAATTAAGATTCATTTTTTTTCCAGTAGTTACGCCCCTTTGAACTTATTTGCCCAATATACTACTGCAACCTTTTGTCATCGCAAATCCTCTCAAACCACACAACAGAATTTCATGAAACTGTGTAGATAATAAGGACATACTATGTAGATGTGCATATTGACAGGAAATTATGATTCAATTTTTTTTTCTGATACAATTTTTTTTTCTTACACTTATTTTATTTCTCCAATGATAATGTGGGGACGTGGGGTATGTGAGCGCGCTCACTAAGGTTCTTTCATTGGAACAGGCACGTGAACAGGTGGTGCGATTAATGGAGGTTTTATTTATATCTCAACTCTTTTCTTTTAATATCGATCACTTGAATGACAAAGGGAACATAAAAGTATATTCTGAAGAATTCTAATATCCATGAAAATTGCTTGCGTTAAAATTTGGTTCTTAGGGAGACTTGGCTGTCAAAACATCCATGCCATATACAAAGTTAATCCTGTACGTATGAAAGATTCAATTCTGTTTTGACTTTGAAACTTTGAACTGTTTTGTTGCATAAATTCCGTATGTAATATTGGCTGTCGTCATGGAATTTTATTCAAAATTCAAGCAAAATATAAAGGGACATTATACTTCATTTTCTTTATCATAAAAGACTAGGGTATAATATGTACATAATGCCATTATGGTATGACGTTGTTGTCGTCGTCGTCCGAAGACATTTGGTTTCCAGACAATAACTTGAGTATAAGTGTATGGATCTCTATGAAATTATACCACAAGGCCCCATACCACAAAAGGGAGGTTGGGATTGATTTTAGGGGTTATGACCCAAACCGTTTAGGAATTAGGATCCAAAAACAAGGATTTTCTGGTTTCCGGACAATAACTTGAGTGTTAGTCTATATAAGTGTGCAGGTTGTTCTTGCCACAGGGATCGTGCATGCGTCTAGTGCAGTAAGGGGTTAATACTCTTAGCATTGCCGCTGGCTAATTCACTTGTAGGTGAAAAGAGAGTCGAGTGCGTAAATCTTTCCTGCCAGTACAAAGCCTCTACACTATCCAAGACTTCTACAGTGCCTCCTCGCGACAGCACACGGTTAACTAGGTTCTATTATCCTAGGCGTTATCTATAGAGGATATCGGCGCAGCAAAGGCCCCAGAGATGCAGTGTGTAGGCCCACCGGCGTGTGGACATACCCTAACACTCATTACCCTTGCCCTAGCTATGGATCAAATAGTATCACTGTCTTTGGATTGGATTTTTAAATCAAAGGCTATGAAAGTAAATCCAGACAGAAAAATCCGTGTAGATGGAACAAGTTAGAAACAGCAGTCGTCTAAGGGCTGGAAACCCCTAAAGAAAAGCTGCCCGTTCTGCATTCCCACGGATTTAAGCATAGGGTTAATCATCCTGCCTTGGAAAAAATCTTGATTACAGAAACGACCACAAAAGCAACTACTCTTTCTCGTCACAACTGGAGGAAGAACATGCTTTTAACCGAAAATAGCAGACAACGCGAAGGACGATGGAGCTGTTTTCAAACAAACTCACCATCATAATAGGCACTTGGAATGTAAGAACACTATACCAAAGTGGCAAATATGCACGAGTAACAAAAGAAATGCATAGATACAAGATTGAAATTCTAGGACTAAGTGAAGTAGATGGAACACATCAGGTACGATATCTATGAATACAGGCCACACAATTATATATTCTGGAACCACCAAACAAAATGACCCGAATGAAAAGGGAGTTTGGTTTCTTACAACAAAAAGATCTAAAAAAAAGCTCTGCTGGAGTGGAATCCGATCTCACCAAGAATTATCACCGCATGCTTTAACTTTCGTTTCCAAAAAAAACCACATTGATACAAGTAAAACTAACTAACTAACTAATTTTATTCAGTATAAAATCCAGTACAAAAGGATCATCGCTGAAATACATGAAAACATGGAAAAAATCAAACAAAAAAGAGACAGCAATAGTGTGACGTACAACAATCAATAGACAAAACACCCCCATCAATATTATGCAATTATTCCCACTGTTGAATTTCTAATCATGATACATTTGTCTATATATAAAAGAAATCTGTTGAGAACATCAGTCTCCGAACAGTTTCTAAATTACAAAAACATGATATAATATTAACAATGTCATCATTAAACTTTTTCCTTTCGTCTTGATAGAGGTTGCATTCACATATAAAATGAAACTCATCTTAAATTTTGTTATCAATACAATGTTTACATATTCTTTGATCCAAAAGCATATTATTATATCTGCCTTTATCGATGTGTAAATTGTGGTTAGAAATTCTTAATTTACAGAACTGTCTATGATATATTGTTTT